AAGCACTCAACTTCTTTTATCTTAATCTGCCAGGCAATCAGCTCCTCTTATCATAATCTATCAAGTAGTCAATCCTTTTCAACTTAATCTGCAAAGCCCTCGATCCCTTCTTCCTTAATCTGCCAAGTCTTCAACTTCTTTCATCTTAATCCGTCAAGCCCTCATTCTCTTTCATCTTAATCTTACAAGTACTTGTTCTCTTTGTCCTTAATGTCCACAATTTGGCCGTCAACCAACCTTAATCTTAACACTCCCACGCGGACAAATTGTCCCACTCACACCTAGCCACTTCTACCCGCTCGCTTCTTAGCCTTTGGTGTTATCCATCCCGTCTCGCCCTTCCAAAATTCTTCCGGTGGCACACGTGCCCGCTCCGGATATCGCTTGCCGCCCGTCGCTGGCGACATCACCTTTCCGCTCTCATCCCTGTCCAACTTCCGGTTGAACCGTGCTCCCACGCCTTCCGCTGCGCTTGCTCCCACGGCTTCCGCTGCGCTTGCTCCCACCGCTTCCGCTGCCACTCCCACGGCTCCCATTGCGCCGTGCTTCTCCGTCTTCTTCTCCGTTGGGGACTCCGTTTCCCCAACGCTCACATCCACCGGTTGGATATCCTTCACCCCGTCGTCCGACTTGTCGTCCGACTCAAGGTCAACCTCAATGACCTTGACCGGCCTCACCTCCGCTTGCTTCTTTTCCACTCTCACTTCCGGCTTCGGTGCCACCTTCCCGAACCGACGCTCCGTCTTGACCGGCCCCTTGACCGCCAAGAACGCTCTCGCCTTCTTAACCGTTGCAATCTCCCACAATCCACCGCGTTGCACCGCCTCCATGCTCACCACACCTCCCATCTCAAATCGGGCAATCCCCCTTTCAAAAGAGATCCTTGCGCCCGCGTCCGTTGCTCGCCGCATTGCGAACAAGTTTGCTCTCGCTCCCGGAACGTGCCAAACCTCGTTCAAGGTCACCTTGCCCGCTCCGTTTGGCGTCTCACACTCCAAGACCACTTTCCCAATCCCCACCGCCGTCAAGGCTTCTCCTCCAAGCCCCTCAATCTTCTCCGCACGCGCAAGCCGCTCGTAGCTTGCAAAGTGCCTCTTATCCGGCGTAATGTGTTGAGTGCTTCCCGAGTCAACGAGCCACACATCCGCCGGCACCCGCGCCTCTTTGCGCCATACCGTAAACGCCACACCGGCAAACTCCTTCCGGTCCGGGCGGTCCTCACCGCCGCTCTTTGCACCACCCCGGGGCTTCCTACACACCGAGCTTATGTGGCCCCTCTCTCCACAATTGAAGCACTCCGCGTTCCGCTTCCGGCAATGAGCCCGGACGTGGCCCTTCTCTCCGCAAGCATAGCACGTCCTCGCGTCGGACCCCGCTTCACGCCTTACCCCTCCGTTGTAACCGCCCCGCTCACTTGACCCCTTGATAACGGTCTCATACCGTTCCCGTTTGGCAACAAATGCCTTCCCCATACTTTCCTCCTCCTTCTCCTCCGGAGCTCCTAGCTCCCCTTCCAACTTCAACTTTTGCTCCTTTTGCATGAGCTTAGGCTGAATTGTGTCCAACGTCAACTCCTCCTCACTCAACTCTAGGACCTCCACTAGAGTTGCATACTCCTTCGGCAAACCATTCAAGGCATGGATTGCCAACTCCACCTCGGAAACGGTTTGACCCGCTGTCTCCAAATCCACCTTAATCTCGCGGAACTCTCCCACATACTCCGCAATGCTCTTCTCCCGGGTCAACGTCAAGCTTGTCAATTTCTTCCTAAGTTGGACAACCCTTGCGTTGCTTGTCTTCTCAAGGTTCTCCTCAAGCTTCTTCCAAGCTTTGGCAGCCGTGGACTCCCCAATGAACAACTTTACATAGGCATCTTGAGTGTGGAGGATCATCAAAGCCTTTGCTTGCCCCGATGCTTTTCTTCCTTCCACCGACTCCGGTTGCTCAATAGCAACATAC